TTGTGTTGGTAATCTAAGTTGTAGAATTTAAACCAGATTAGCAAGTTTTTCTTCTAAGCAGATTTTGGAATAATACAGCAGTAAATACTTGCTTGATCATAATAGCTACGCTCAGTTGACAATAATTCTAATTGTGTGTGAATTGGACTAACTAAAATCAGTTTAATCTGGTTCTAGGAAATACTCTATTCTTGACTGCCTGAAGTTGAGGATAATGGCCATAGTCATCTAATAAAACATTAATTAAAAGCATTACTTTAGTATTAAATCCTACTGCTTGCTCATTATCTTTAACAAAGGACACTGCCTTTGACAGTTACCAACCAGGAACTGGTTGGAGGAAACAAATTTAAATAAAGTTGTTCCTGTTCTCACCAGTTTTCTAGTAAGTTGCTATCTTTTTTTTTTTTTTTTTTTTGTCAGCCCTGGGGCTTGAACTCAGGGCCTGGGCTCTATCCCTGAGCTTCTCTATGCTCAAGGCTAATACTCTACCACTTGAGCCACAGTGCCACTTCTGGCATTTTCTGTTTATGTGGTACTGAGGAATCAAACTCAGGGCTTCATGCATGCTAGGCAAGCACTCTACCACTAAGCCATATTCCTAGCCCTATAAGTTGCTGTCTTTTACCACAGCCACTTACTATAATTTTCCACCGTAAATAATTGATCTGTTTACCTTTGCCTAAAACTTGATGAATGAATTCACTTGAACAAATGAGTGATTGTCAGGAGGTATGAACTGCTTCCACTAGTTGACTCTTCTGAAGGAAACTGTAGTTTTTCTTCTGGCTTCTATTATTTCTTCCAGAAAACTTCTAATTTCTCACCCCCTTTTGAAAAAAGGCAGTTTTCCATTTTTGTGAAACATGGTCTCTACCCTTATATCATTGCTCCTTCAAACAATAGGTTTTTTGGGGGGATTAAAGGGGATACCTTTTTTTTTTAATTAACATACATTAGCCAAAGAAGTGAGGATTTTACTGTATCATTTTTATTCATGTATACAATGTATTCCAACAAACTCCTCTACCTCTAAAGTGATAGCTGGGCTTCTCTTGAGCTGATGTTAAGGAGGTCCATGGGTAGGGAGCCAAAGACCCCTATAGCATTGTATTTTGGCTCTTGTCCTATTCACACAGACTGAATATGTGTAGCTTCCAGCTTAGTACATTTTGGTGGTGTTTTCCAAAGCTATCAACCATTGCAGCCTCATGCTAGTCTAACATAATGTTTTCATGCATCAAAAATGAACAAGAAAAAAATGGAGAGACAAAGGATGAACAAATGCAGCAATAGTACTCACTAAACACTATGCTGAAAATGAACTAAACAACTTGTGGGTGAGAATGGGAGGGAGAAACTGGGAGAGAGCAAAGGAAGGGTGACCCTGATTCATGTAACTGTAACTTCTTTGTGTACATCACTTTTACAATAACATTTAAAAAAAAAAGTGAACAAGGGAAAGTTCTTTCTAAACATTTTGCTAACATTTTGTTATTAAATACCTTTTAAATGAAATTTATGGTGAAAGCAAAAGTGTAATAAAATAAAAGCCTGGGACTAAGAAGGTGGCTCAGTGGTAGAGTGTTTGCCTTCCATGCTTGAGGCCCTGAGTTTGATTCCTCAGCACCACATAAGCAGAAAAAGCCTGAAGTGGCACTGTGGCTCAAGTGGTAGAGTGCTAGCCTTGAGCTGAAGAACTGAGGGACAGCGCCCAGGCCCAGAGTTCAGACCCTACGACTGGACCCCCCCCCCCAAAAAAAAAAAGCCTGTTTCTTATTATGAAATGGCCTGTAGTATCACAAACAATAGCATTTGATCCAATATTTATGTAGCTATTGCATCCTTTTTTGCATTACCTAGAATACTTATGTGATAGTTATGAATAATTACTAGATAACTACTATCATCTGTAAACTACCAGTATAAAGGCTTGAACTTTTAAACCCTTGATTTTGTTTAGCTTGCTTGGCTGACAGTCATGTACCTGAGCCATACCTCTAGACCAGATTTTTGCAGGTTATTTTGGAATCACAAGGACTTTTCTTCCTTAGCTGGATTCAAACCTCCATCCTCCAGCTCTCAGTCTCCTAGGTAGGTAGCATTATAGATGTGAGCCACCAGTTCCTGGAAACCTCTCTAGACTTTATTTTAAAAATCTCATTTAAATATTTTACACTTGGACTGCAAAGTCTCACTGCTGTAGCATAGGAGTTTGTTTAGCTTACTTTCTTGGAGGAGATAATGATCAAAGTCACCAAACTATAATCAAATGTTATGTTATTTTAAAGTGCTTTTCATGAAAGTTAAGCTGTAAACACTTTGTACTTGGTAACTCCCAGTGTATAAGTAAACCAGTCCCTGTCTGGCAATTTGGATATACCAGTATGATAATAGCAAGTCATCATAGAATGCTAGTCATCAGTCAAACACCTTTCCCCACCATTCCCTGCCCCCTTTTGGTGCCCTTCCTTGTGCCCATCCCATGTGTACTTTGCCTGGAAGTTTTCTATAGTTCTCTCAGTAACAGGAATACTCAAGTGTTCTTTTAGGCTACTACATTGAGAGCAGTGGTGTTTAAAAAGTTTTACAAGATGGCCAGGCACCATTGGCTCAGGCCTGTAATCCTAGCTACTCAGGAGGCTGAGATCTGAGGATTGCGGTTCAAAGCCAGCCTGGGCAGGAAAGTCTGTGAGACACTTATTTCCAATTAACCACCAGAAAACTGGAAGTGGTGCTGTGTCTCAAGTGGTAGAGCTCTTACCTTGAGCAGAAGAGCTGAGGCCCAGAGTTCAAGCCTCACTACTCGCCCCCCCCCCCCAAAAAAAAAATAGTTTTATAAAATGCCAGCAGGTTAGGGGTACTGCTCAGTGTGTTTCCTGTATAAGGCCCTAGATTGAATTGCTAACCTTTTTTTTTTTGCCAGTCCTGGGACATGAACTCTGGGCCTGGTCATTGTCCCTCAGGTCTTCAGCTCAAGGCTAGCACTCTACCACTTGAGCCACAGCACCACTTCCAGCTTTTTCTGCTTATGTGGTGCTAAGGAATCGAACTCAGGGCCTCATGCATGCAAGGCAAGCACTCTACTACTGAGCCACCTTCCCAGCCCTGAATTGTTAACATTTTTTAGCCAGGCTTTGGTACTGTGTGTTTGGGGGAAGGCATATACCCAGTAGTGCTCTCCTCACGTCACAAGCCTGCAGATGTCACCAGGGAATGATGAGGAAGGGGGTGAGCAGCCAAGTGTACGCTGTAGTAGGTAGGTTCTGGATTTGGATTTAAAAGAATGATAGACTCAGGGCTGGAAAGGTAGCTAGTGGTAGAGTGCTCACCTTGAGCTGAAGAGCTCAGAGTCAGTGCACAGGACCAGAGTTCATGCCCCATAACCGACAAAAAAGGAATGATAGACTCTCTTACAAAGCGAACTTTACATTTTAAAAGGCTGCCTAACTATCCAAAAATTGTGGTATCTATACACCATGGAATATTATGTAGCTATTAGAAAGGACAAAATAATGGCATTTGCAGGGAAATGGATGGAGCTAGAAGAAATCATGTTGAGCGAGGTAAGCCAAGTACAAAGAGACAAACGGCACATGGTCTCCCTGATAAGTGGATGTTAAAACCAAAATGTAAAGTGATAAGACAAAATTAACAAGACTTAAGAAACAAAGGACTTCCACTCATCTGGTCAAATCACTACTAAATAACTCCATGCGGCTGATCACATATATGGTACATATGTGCACACTGGAGGGAAACCAGGAGGACAACGCAGAACTAGAGGGAATCAGGGAAAAACATACAACAACGGGACCCATCAGCTGCATTGGACATTGACCAAAATGAACTAAGCAACAAAATGGCAGCAATGGGAGGGAGGGAACAAGTGGGAAAGAGGGAACAGCTGGTGTTATGCAAAACACAAGAAATGTACATATCACCCAATGTGGAAGAAATAACTGTATAGCAAAGCTTATAGAACTCAAATGTTATAGACCATGATAGACAATTTGCCCCATGAAAGTTAGAATGTGTTTGTGACTTTAACTAAGGATCACTATTGTACAATACTGTGAAATTTGGGAAATTATGTGACCACTTAATCACAATAAAAATTTTGAAAAAAAAAGACTGCCTAACTATATTGACAACTGTAAACTACATATTAACGTAAGATTTAAAAATATAGGGCTGGGGCTGGGAAGGTGGCTCAGTGGTAGAGCGCTTGCCTTGCATGCTCAAGGCCCTGGGTTCGATTCCTCAGCACCATATAAGCAAAAAGAAAAAAGCCGGAAGTGGCGCTGTGGCTCAAGTGGTAGAGTGCTAGCCTTGAGCTGAAGAGCTGAGGGACAGAGCCCAGTCCCAGAGTTCAGGCCCCACGACCGGACCCAAAAAAAAAAAAAAAATAGGGCTGGGAATGTGGCTTAGTGGTAGCTTGCTTGCCTTACATGCATAAAGCCTTGGGTTCCAGTCCTCAGTACCATATACACAGAAAAAGCCATCGGTGGCCCTGTGGCTCAAGTGGTAGAGTGCTAGCCTTGAGCAAAAGAAGTCCAGGGACAGTGTCTAGGCCCGGAGTTCAAACCCCAGGACTGACAAAAAACAAAATAAAACAAACAAAAAAACACAAAGTACTTTTTGAGATAGATTGTGTAAATCAATCAATCTATATCAATTTTGACAGGGTCTTTTTTTCTCTATCTGATGGGATCTCTCTCACTGTCTGTCTGGCAACATCTCTTTCTCTTTCGCTCAGGCTGATATGGAACTCACTAGCCTTCCTTAGCCTCCCAAGTACTGGGATTATAAGCATGTGCCATCATGCTCATCCAAATGAGTTCTCATTAAGAGTACTTTAAGAATGGTGTGTAGTTCAGTGACGGAGACCTTCCTAGTGCCTGTAGAGTCCTGGGTTCAATCCCTAGCACTGAAAAAAAACATTCATTAAAGTGGTGAATAGGTTGACTGCAAACATAGTTTTCTTTTTTAAATTTCAGATACCCTGGATGAATATTTTGAATACGATGCTGAAGAGTTCTTGGTCTCTCTGGCCTTGCTAATAACTGAAGGACGAACGCCTGAATGTTCTGTAAAAGGTCGAACGGAAAGTTTCCACTGCCCTCCTGCACAGTCTTGTTACCCAGTAACCACCAAACATGAATGCAATGACAAGCTGGCCCAGGTGAGAAGCATGTGGTGAATGCTTTTTCTGTCTTTTATGTAAACTAGTTTAAATTCTGCCATGATTTTATTAAAAATTGGCTCTTAAACAAGAGCATTATGGGTAGCTCTGCTGATCATTGGGAAAGGAGGGTAGTCAATTTCAAATCTACCCTTTCAGTATTTCTAAATTGGACTGTCTTCATTGCTGTGGTTTGGTTTTCTTTGTTTTGGTGGTGAGGTTTGAGTGCTCTCTCTGCGTTCTTTTGTTCAAGGCTAGCATCTACTACCACTTTGAGCCACAGTGTGACTTCTGTTTTTTCTAGTGGTTAATTGGAGATAAAGAGAGTCTCATGGATTTTCTTGCCTGGGCTGGCTTTGAACCACTATCCTCAGATCTTACTCTCTTTAGTAGTAAGGATTACAGGAGTGAGCCACTGGCACCCAGCTTCAGTTTGTCTTGCTGGTTATTTTGGAGATGGGATCTCTTGGACTTTTCTTTTAGAACTTTTCTTCTTAGAAAAGTTCTTGCCTTCAAGCTGTAATCCTCCAGACCCTTGAGTAGGTAAGATTACAGGTTGGAGCTTCTGGCACCCAGTCTGCTTTAAAGTTACTAGTTTCTGAAATACGGTCCAAGATTTTAAACTTAAAAATCGTACCTAAGCTGGGTGCCAATGGCTCATATCTGATCTGAAGATCCTGATTTGAGGCCAGCCTAGGCAAGAAAGTCTGTGAGATTCCAGTTAAGCATCGAAAAAGCCCAAAGTGGAGCTATGGCTCGAGGCACTAGCCTCGAGAGAAAAACTCAAGGACAGCACCCAGGCCCTGAGTTTAAGCCCCCAGGACTCGCACACACAAAAAAAGTATTGCCTGTTTGAATGTTTAATGAAAATAAAAATTTGATACCCGTGATCTTAAAATTTAATGTAATCTTTTCTATGAAATAATAGTGAAATTAATGAAGTAGCCAATGTGGGGGCAAATCAGGAATCCATCAGATATAGTGTATGGAAGTTTTGTTTTCTACAAAATAGTGCAAAGATATTCCCACCCCAGGAAATTTGCATATTAATATTCACTACCAATCCTGTGCTCACTTATTATCCTGAATACATAATTTAACAAGCCATTCTGTATAGCAAAGCTTTAGCAAAGTTCTGCAGGGGATGATTTGTTTTTTCAATGCAACATTCAAATTTGAACACAAAATTAGGATGATAATTGAGATGAGTTGTTCATCTTTGTTTTGTCTTAAGTGTCGCCAAGCCAGACGCACCAGGTCTGAGGTCACCCTGCTGTGGAAGAACAACCTGCCCATCATGGTGGAGGTAATGCTGCTGCCAGACTGCTGCTACAGTGACGACGGGCCCAGTACAGAAGGGGCTGATCTGAATGACCCTGCCATTAAGCAGGATGCGTTGTTACTCGAAAGGTGGATCCTGGAGCCAGTTCCTCGGCAGTAAGTTGTTAGACTCAATGTATCAACCTCTCCCCTACATCCTAAAAATTACCTCTGTCATTTCTTTGGATCCCTGTATGTTAATAATCCAAGGCATTGACAAATGCTCTTGAAAGCACATGTCCTGAGTTGCCTTAGTTCCAGGTTTTCTCTTCCTTAAAACTTAGTCAATGCTGACATTTAGATTATGCTTTGTTACTTCCCTTAGGAATGGTGAGCGATTCGTTGAAGAGAAGACCCTTCTGTTGGCTGTCCGCTCCTTTGTGTTTTTTTCTCAGTTAAGTGCGTGGCTGAGTGTTTCTCATGGTGCTATTCCACGAAATATTCTTTACAGGTATGTCTAAGGCAAGAAAAAAAAAAAAAGGAACAGTAGTCACACTGTTTAGCTGACCAAAGGATATTTTACCTTTTAAATAATGTATTTTTTTCATTTCTAAATATAAGATGATAAAATTTAATGATGTTAGCTTTGTGCTGGTGGCTCATGCCTATAATCCTAGCTACTCAGGAAGCTGAAATCTGAAGACTGTGATTCAAAGCTAGCCCAGGGAGGAAAGTCCATGAGACTCTTATCTCCAATAAACTACTCAAAAAAGCTGGAAATGGAGCTGTGGCTCAAGTAGTAGAGCACTTGCCTTGAACTGAAGAGCTTCTGGGATTGCATCCAGGCCCAGAGTTCAAGCCCCATGACCAACAAAATAAATAAATGAATAAAATAAAAATTTAATGATGTTTTTCTCAAAATAAGAGAAATTTAGATTGCATCAGTATGGATTTTGTTTGTTGAGTTAAATTTGGTACAGAATAAGAGAACTTTTTTTGTCGGTCAAGGGGCTTGAACTCTGGGCCTGAGCGCTGTCCCTCAGCTCTTCAGCTCAAGGCGAGCGCTCTACTGCTTGAGCTACAGCACCACTTCCAGTTTTCTGGTGGTTTATTGGAGATAAGAGGTTCATGGACTTTCCTGCCCAGGCTGGCTTTGAACTGCAATCCTCAGATCTCAGCCTCCTGAGAAGAGAACTTTTAAGCTTATGTTAGAGAACCAAGAAGAGATCTAATGCTACCATTAGATCCTGGGCTTCTGAAATTCTTTTTTTTGGGGGGGGGGGATCCGGTGGTGGGTCCTGAACTCTGGGCTTGGGTGCTGTTCCTCAGCTCTTCAGCTTAAGGTTAGCACTCTTCCACTTGAGCCACAACATCACTTCTGGCTTTTTTCTTTTTGTTTATGTGGTACTGAGGAATCAAACCCAGGGCCTCATGCATGCAAGGCAAGTGCTCTACCACTGAGCCACCTTCCCAGCCCTGGGCTTCTGAAATTCTATAATGAACATCTTAAATTTTGTCATTTTGAAAAATATAAACATGCCAGGTGCTGGTGGCTCACTTACTCCTAACTAACTGAGATCTGAGGAGAGTGTGGTTCGAAGCCAGCCTGGACAGGAAGATCCCCAAGTCTTAACTCCAATTAACCACAAAAAAGCCAAAAATTGAGCTATTGCTCAATTGATAGAGCACTAGCCTTGAGTACAAAACTTAGGCTTGGCATCCAGCCCCTGAGTTAGTTCAAGCCCCAGGACTGGAGCATACACAGACACACACAGACACAGACACACATACACACACACAAATAAATATAAACATAGCTGGTCATAGTTGAGTGTGCTTGTAGTCTCAATGACTCAGGAGGCCAGTGCTGGAGGATCACTTAAGCCTAGAAGTTTAAGACAGCCTGGGCAACAGAATGATAGCCTGCCTCAAAAAAAATCTCTGTGTGTTGTATACCCAAACATAAACAAACATATAGGTTGCCAAGCAACTAATTGCCTTTTTAGGCAGGTGGCCATGAGATATTTATCTTAATCACCTTACACAATAAAATGAGCTAAATCAATTTTTATACTAGTAAATACAGACTCCTTTCTATTTTTGACAAATATTGTTGCTTATAACATTCCTGAACTTTAATACTTAAGTTGTCAGATCTCTTAAAAAGAAGATCATTTTGCCTGTATGCTGATAGCTCATGTGCCTGTGATCCAAGCTACTCAGGGGGTGAGATCAAGAGGATTGCAGTTGTAGACTAATCTTGGCAGAAGTTTTATGAGGCCTATCTCAACCAATAAAAGCTAGGAGTGGTAGTGCATACTTACCATCTAGGCTACAATGGAAAGACCACAGTGCAGGAAAGCCTGAAAAACAAACAAAAAAACCCAAAGGACTATCTCAAAAATAACTAGTGTAAAAAATGCTGTAGACGTGACTTAAGAAGTAAAGTTATTATTTAGCAAGTTTGAAGCCTGAGTTCAAATCTCAGTGCTACAAAAAAAAAATCAGATCTTCAAGTATGTTATACCACTTACGTTATGTTCTAAGAATAATATGCATATCCAGGTGGCTCAAAATTAACCTCAGTGGTAATTAATGCAAACAAAGATGACTACCTTTTAAAAAAATTTTTTTGGCTGGTACTGGACCTTGAACTCAGGACCTCATACACTTATTTGGCTTCTTTGCTGTGGCTGGTGCTGTACCATTGAGCCATGCCTCCAGTTATAGCTTTGTGCTGGTTAATTAAATTTGTCAGTCTCATGAGTAGCAAGGATTGTAAGTACCTGGCACTTAAAAAAACAGTATTTACATAATTTAAATAGAATGATGGACCTAATATTTACAATCTACTGCTTCTGTACTTTTCTGTTTGATTTTAGAATCAGTGCTGCTGACATCGACCTCCAGTGGAATTTTTCACAATCTCCAATAGAACATGTGTTCCCTGTTCCCAACATTTCTCACAATGTGGCCTTGAAAGTCAGCGTTCAGTCCTTACCCAGGCAGTCCAATTACCCGGTTTTGACATGTAGTATTCACACCAACATTGGTCTTTATGAGAAAAGAAGTCAAGAGCATGAACTTAAAAACCATCAGCACTGCAATCCTAATGAAGTAGAGCAAAGTAGTCCAAACAGTTCCCAGCGTCTGTGCAGCAAACCAACATGGACCATGGGCCCTGAAAGTGTCCTACACGTGAAACATGGCACAACTTCTGAGTATACTACAGCCATCAAAAATGTGAAACTGTATCCTGGCCCTGGCAGTAAACGTGACCATGGGACATCTCAAGCCAACATTCTGGGATTTGGTGGCATGGGAGATAGAAAGTCACATGAAGCATCCGTGAGAACTTTAAAATCATTTTCACTGACTGGTTCTGGTGTTTCTAGCCGCCAGAGTTCCTGGCAGTCAGGTGGGGAGACTAACCCTTTAATAGACTCTTTAATTCAGGATCGACAGGAAGTGATTGCAAGGATTGCTCAGCATTTGATTCATTGTGACCCAAGCCCTTCAAATATTTCTGGCCCACCATTTAATACTCAAGGCTCTAGTCCACTGAATTCAAAAATTTACCAAGAGAATGAAAATGTAAGAAAATGTAAAGACACTTTCTCCGTTTCTTTTGGTAGTCCAGACTTGACCTCAGAAGACACCCATGAAGGGAAAACTCAGGTAAAAGCAGAAACTCCACGGAGTGAAACTTGTATGTCCAGTGGGCCTTACTGTCGGCTGTCTACTGGAGAGGCGAATCCTCTGATAGGCTCTCTGCTGCAGGAGCGGCAGGATGTCATTGCGAGAATTGCCCAGCACTTAGAGCACATTGATCCTGCGACATCACGTGTTCCCCGGCCCACCTTCACCATGCTGGATTCCACTTCAGGTCTTTCCAAGGTATTTAGGAGCTCCTATGAAGACAAGCAATTGTTGAAGACAAATAAAGATGATGGCTCTGTGTCTGTTTCCCATGGAAAATTTTCCTTGCTAGGAGACAACAGTGATGGGGAAAACTTGATACCTAGAAAACCGTTCAGTTCTTTTAAATGCAACAGTAAAGAAAAGTCTTCTTTGAAACCTCAAATAAGAAACCAGTGTCAGAACAATGCTACCGAAATCATCCAAAGCATGTGTCAGGAGACACAGAACAAAGTTACTAGTTTATCCACTTCCTTGAATATGTCTCATTGCAAGGAAAATAACTTAGATTTGCTGAACAGATTAGAAAATACACTTTCGGAGACCCAGTTTAAGGAGCAAGAAATTACTAATGCAGTTGACAAACAGTATTCAAAATGCAGCAGTATTGAAAAAAAGATTTGTACAAATAAATATAAGGAAAAAATACTAAAAAATGAGAATTGTAATCCGGACTCTTTTGATAGTCTCCAACTTGATAATTCAAAAACAGTTGACTCACGAATAAAAGTCAATATGTGGGAAATGTCTGAATATTTGAACAAGTGTGAAAATAATTGTTCAAATAAAGACTCAAAAAAGCCCAAGACATGTGATCAAAATACTCACCTTAATAGCATAGAAAATTATCTCCATAAAGATAACGAAGGTTTCAAATGCAAAAAGTTAGACAAATTAAAAAATGAGCAGGATAAGAAAGAAGATTCAACTGAAGAAAAATCTCAAAACTGTTCTCCAAGGAAAAATACAAAAGACTGTTTGTCTACATGTGAACGACTGAAAAGTACCGAAGTGTTGGTATGTAACGTAATTAATTTCAAGTAGAGTTCTCAGCTATTTATTATGGTTTGAATTTTGTTCAGAGGAGATCTGGTGATAATGACCCAAGGTGGGTTAGAAGGATAATCAAATTCAGCTTATCGTAATTGGTTAGAAAAGACCCATGGTGGCCATTATTTTTCTAAAACACAGTCTGATAGAGTAGTCTTCCACAGAACTATGAGCATCTTTGTAAATAAACTTACTCCCTGGAGAGCAAATGCTATGTAGATAGAAGAATGAAAATCATAAGATTTAATGAGGGCTGGGAAGGTGGCTCAGTGGTAGAGCGCTTGCCTTGCATGCTCAAGGCCCTGGGTTCGATTCCTCAGTACCACATAAGCAAAAAGAAAAAAGCCGGAAGTGGCGCTGTGGCTCAAGTGGTAGAGCGCTAGCCTTGAGCTGAAGAGCTGAGGGACAGTGCCCAGGCCCAGAGTTCAGGCCCCACGACCAAAAAAAAAAAAAAAAAAAAAAAAAAGATTTAATGAATAGGGACTCGTACCTTTAAGAAAAACCCTTCCATTATCTCAGTAAATCTTATTGGTCTGTTATTTTAATCTTTTAGCTCAGATCTTCATCCTTAACTATAATCTAAAAGGTTTGTTTACTTCTGTTAAGCACCTAGGTTTTAAAATATTTATAGATTCAGGAGAATATATGCTATTTGACATATTAAAAAAATGCTTTAGGGCTTGGAATGTGGCACAGTGGTAGAGTGCTTGCCTCACATGCATGAGGCCCTGGGTTCGATTCCTCATCACCACATAAACAGAAAAAGCTGGAAGTGAGTGCTGTAACCCAAGTGGTAGAGCACTAGCTTTGTGCAAAAGAAGCTTAGGGACGGTGCCCAGGCCCTGAGTTCAAGCCCCAGGACTGGCCAAAAAACAACAACAACAACAAAAAAACTTTAATTTTAGCCCAACCTAGATGGCTTTATGGCTTTAATCCTACCTACTCAGGAGGCTGAGATCTGAGAATTACAGTTCAAAGCCATCCTGGGCAGAAAGATCTTGAGACTTTTTACCTCCAATTAACCAGCAAAAAGCTGGAAGGGGACCTGTGGGGCTTAAGCGTGCCAGAACTTGAGTGAAAAAGTAGGGAGGAACAAATACATTTTAAAATATTTTGTATGCCTTTAATATATTGTTTAGATAGAAAATATTCTAATCTTTGGATATAAAGTTGCCCAGTTTTTAAGATTTGGCAGTTCACATTATTGTTTGCCCATTGGGCTCAGGTGATCCTGCTGTCTCAGCTTCCTAAGAAGCTGGGATTATAAGCAAATACCTCTTCATTTGATCTTAGCTGAGAGGCAAATAAGTGATATAAACACAAAACAAACAAACAAAAAAAATGCTCTTATACTCTACCCACTTAAAACCTTTTTTTCCTTTTTAATACTAGGTCTTGAAACTCAGACCCTTCACACTCTCATTGGCTCTTCTTAGTCTAGGTCGAAGCTCTACCTACCACTTGAGCCACACCTCTAGTCCAGCATTTTGCTGACTAATTGTATACAACAGTCTCATGGACTTTCCTGCCCACTCTGGCTTTAAGCTGAGATCCTCTAGGTCTCTGTCTTCTTTGTAGCTAGGATTACAGGTGTGAGCCACTGATGCTCAACCATCAGTTAACCTATTTCTTGAATCACAGTAAAGGCATAGTGCTGTGATTACATTGCATATATTCTTTTTTTTTTTTTTTTGCCAGTCGTGGGGCCTGAACTCCGGGTCTGGGCGCTGTCCCTCAGCTCTTCAGCTCAAGACTAGCACTCTACCACTTGAGCCACAGCGCCACTTCCAGCTTTTTCTGCTTATGTGGTGCTGAGGAATCGAACCCAGGGCCTCATGCATGCAAGTCAAGCACTCTACCACTGAGCCACCTTCCCAGCCCCACATTGCATATATTCTTAAATTTGTAATAATTTTCATATTTCCTGTTGTCGCACAAATTCTCTAAAAATAGCTCTTGATATTGACACGATGCTAATATTTTAGAAGATTATACAAAATTTTTCTGGTATAATTTGTGAATTATTTTTCACAAATTAAAATAAGTATTGGTTTACTAGATGTTAGATTCTGAGTGAACATTTATTTGATAAGGCAATTTGGGCGTACTTTAGAACATTTGAGTTTGCTCAGCCAAAAAAATATTGGCAAAAAAATAATCTTAGGTGTTATTTTCCAATTAGTGTGTGTGTAGATGTGAATACCTCAGATCACGTTAGCAATGACACTTTAAAAACTATAAAGCTACACACAATCCTTTGAATGGTATTGAACATTACCATTAAAATATCATTCTTTTCCTAATAGAGGGGTACACTGAAACATTCAAGCATCTGGCGGAAACATAATTTTCATTCCTTAGATGGAACCTCAACAAGAGCCTTTCATCCCCGAACTGGATTGCCTCTTCTTTCAAGTCCTGTAAGTACCCCGTGTGTGTGTGTGTGTGTGTGTGTGTGTGTGTGTGTGTGTGTGTGTGTGTGTGTGTGTGTGTGTGTGTGTGTGTGTGTGTGTGTGTGTGTGTGTGTGTGTGTGTGTGTGTGTGTGTGTGTTGGAACTCAGGGCTTGAGTCCTGTAAGTATCCCCTACCCACTATCACACTGCGTGTGTGTTTTTGTGTGTGTATGTTGGAACTCAGAGCTTGAACCCTGTCCTGAGCTTTTTCCACTCAAGGCTAGCACTCTACCACTTTGAGCCACAATTCCACACTCTACCACTTTGAGCCACAATTCCACTTCCAGTTTTCTGGTGGTCATTTGGAAATAAGAGTTTCACAATCTTTCCTGCTTGGACTGGTTTTTGAATTATAATCCTCAGATCACAGCCTCCTGAGTAGCTAGGATTACAGATGTGAGTCACTGGTGCCTGGCTTCCTAACAACTTTAAAGAACTTTATTTGGGAACCTTAGGAATTACAATTAGGGAAACACTGGATGAGTGACTTGAAAGAGACAGGGAGAGTGGGATCTTTTTTTTTTTTTTTTTGGTCCTGGGACCTGAACTCTGGGCCTGGGCGCTGTCCCTGAATTCTTCAGCTTATGGTAAGCCCTCTACCACTTGAGCACAGATCCACTTCTGGCTTTTTCTGCTTATGTGGTGCTGAGGAATCGAACCCAGGGCCTCATGCATGCAAGGCAAGCACTCTACGAATGAGCCACCTTCCCAGCCCTACTAACAACTTTTTAAAAGCAATTGACTCTTATTGAAAATGATCTCAAAGAAAAGAACTATGTAAGAACTTTTTTTTTTTTTTTTTGGTCAGTCATGGGGCCTGAACTCTGGGCCTGGGCACTGTCCCTCAGCTCTTTAGCTCAAGGCTAGCGCTCTACCACTTGAGCTACTGCACCACTTCCGGCTTTTTTTTCTGCTTATGTGGTGCTGAGGAATCGAACCCAGGGCCTCATGCATGTAAGGCAAGTGCTCTACCACTGAGCCACCTTCCCAGCCCTATGTAAAAACTTTTAAAGAATCAACAAGAACAACAACAACAAAAAATCACATGTAGGACCTTGTTGTCAGAGTGACTTCTTAAGGAGTTAAAAGTAATTCTTTTAAAAATGTTGTAGGAACTAGGTGTTGTTGGCTCACACCTGTAATCCTAGCTACTCAGGAAACATATAGAGGAAGGATCTAGGTTCAAGACCTACCCAGGAAGAAAAGTTCACAGAAAAACAGTTTACGGTTCACAGTAAAAAAAAAAAAAAAAAAAAAAACAGGGCTAGGGATATGGCTCACGTGTAGAACACTAGCCTAGCAAAATTTGAGACCCTGAGTTCAAACCCTAACTAATATCACACAAAAAAATTTTAAGAGCAAGATATACATGATGATACATACCTGTAATCCCAGCTACCTAGGAGGCAGAGGTAGGAGAGTTGTAGTCTGAGGTAAGCTGATATAAAAGCACAAAACTCTATCTGAAAAAACGAATAGGGAAGCAAAAGGATTGGGGAACACACATGGCCCCAAGTTCAGTTTCCAGTCACAGAAAAATAAATACAAACAAAAAGTTAAAATATTCAAAATGAATGTGAAGACAAGGAATTAAGTTGAAACAATGAAACTGAGCCTGATGGCATACATCTAGCTACAATCCTAGAACTCAGTGCTAGAGCAGAAGAATTCTAAGTTCAAGGGAGTCTGGGTGACATAGCAAGATTAGGTCAATAAATGAATAAACAAAAGAGATAAAGATGAACATACAAGATTTCAAAAAGAACTAAATAAAAAAGCTAGATAAGAGAAATAGTACATTTGAAGTGTGCATTCACATGCACATACTGATGGACAAAGTAGAACAGAACAAAGATTGATTGATTGATTGATTGATTTTATTTTTTTGGGGTCCGGTCGTGGGGCCTGAACTCTGGGCCTGGGCGCTGTCCCTCAGCTCTTCAGTTCAAGGCTAGCACTCTACCACTTGAGCCACAGCGCCACTTCCGACTTTTTTCTTTTTGCTTATGTGGTGCTGTGGAATTGAACCCAGGGCCTTATTCATGCAAGGCAAGCACTCTTTACCACTGAGCTGCCTTCCCAGCCCCCAGAACAAAGATTTATAGAGATCAATAGAGATACAACAAGTGAGTAGACAATATACAGAAAGCACAATTTAGAAAATATTTAGGAAGTGTCTAAAAAATAGGTATAAAGCACTTGTATATAACATTCAAAAATGTTGATGTGTGCATTTCTCATCTGTTTCTTAGTCTCCAATTAGATCAGAGTGTCAGAAATATCTGACATACTTAATTCTAGAAGCAAATCCTTTTTAACTTTTTTCTACTATGAATTTCTTTAACCTTTAATTTATGTTTTGTTCTTCTTTCTTTTGGAGGGTAAGTGTTGGTTTGTTTTCAGTATAATCTGATACATAACAATGATATTTGAAATTCAGTGTTCTTATAAGCCTTAAGCTTCTTGGGAGTGGGGCAGTTGGGGTCCGCAAAAGAAGAAAGAGTTGGAAGATCCCAGGCCATTTCTCTATTTATTGGAAAGCTTTCAGTATTCCCCACCTTCTCCCCCTGAGAGTACACTAATATATCAAGAAGTGATATGTGGGTGCTGGTACCCTCACACCTGTAAACCTAGCTACTCAGAGGCTGAGATCTGAGGATTGTGATTTGAAGACAGCCCCAGTAGGAAAGCTTGTGAGACTCTTATCTCTGAAAACCAGAAGTAGTGCTGTGGCTCAAAGTGGTAGAGTAGTTGCCTTGAGCAAAAAAAAAAAAGCTCCGGAATAGTGACAAGGCCTTGAGTTCAAGCCCCATGACTGACCAAAAAAAAGAAAAAAAAAAGTGAAAGTCTTATCTTTATTACATATATATTGAGATTCCATGTACTATCTAGTTTTAGAAGAAATTACTTTTTAAAAACTTGAGGGGCTGGGAAGGTGGCTCAGTGGTAGAGCAATTGCCTTGCATGCATGAGGCCCTGGGTTCGATTCCTCAGCACCACATAAGCAGAAAAAGCTAGAAATGGTGCTGTGGCTCAAGTGGTAGAGCGCTAGCCTTGAGCTGAAGAGCTGAGGGACAGTGCCCAGGCCGAGTTCAGGCACCATGACTGGCAAAAAAAAAACAAAAAACAAAACAAACAAACAAACAAAACAAAACTTGAAACCTAGTAAAAATACTTCCATTAGCTATCTTTTTTTTGCTAGTGAATAAAATTAGAAGATAAGAAAAATACATAATAGCCCAGCACTTGGTGGCTCACACCTATAATCCTAGCTACTCAGGAGGCCTAGATCTCAGGATTGCGGTTCAAAACCAGGCCTGGCAGGAAAATCAGTGAGTGACTCTTTTCTCCAATTAATCACCAGAAAACCGGAAGTGATGCTGTGGCTCAAGTGGTAGAGCGCTCACCTTGAGCTGCAACACTCTGGGCAGTGCCTAGGTCCAGAGTCCACCACCACCAACATAATAATAACATTATTTGAAATACACTGTTATGTATGAAATCTTACTTTAAAAGTATGCTGCATAGCTTTTATTTACGATTATTTTGACTTTAGGTTCCTCAAAGAAAAACACAATCAGGTTGCTTTGATCTGGATTCTTCATTGCTGCGTCTGAAAAGCATTTCATCGAGAAGGTAGTAATCTTAAAATATATCTATGTAACCGAAATAGAATTTCACAAAATTCTAGTCTCTGACAATAAGTGAGTGTAAAAATCAAAATCTTCATATTTTCAATATGATACTGCATGTGCAAAAATTACTGAAGAATGAAAGTCCTTGAGACAGTTAGCTACAGCAATTTTAGTCATTCTAATAAACATTATTATTTTTGGTGGGTCCAGTCGTGGGGCCTGAACTCTGGGCCTGGGCGCTGTCCCTCAGCTCTTCAGCTCAAGGCTAGCACTCTACCACTTGAGCCAGAAATCCACTTCCGGCTTTTTTCTTTTTGCTTATGTGGTGCTGAGGAATCGAACCAAGGGCCTCGGGCATGCAAGGCAAGCGCTCTACCACTGAGCCACCTTCCCAGCCCCTATAAATATTATTTTTTAACACTTAAATAGATTTATATACTCCTGGACATTAATCTCTACCTTGTATTTTTATTTTAATTAATTAACTTATTTGTGCCAGTTGTGGGGCTTGAAGTCATGGCCTAGGCACTTTTTCTGAGAGTTTTTGTTCAAGGTTAGCACTCTACCATCTGTGCCATAGCTCCACTTCTGGCTTTTTGGTAGTTAATTGGAGATAAAGTCTCACAAACTTTCTTGGCCAGGCTGACTTCAAACAGTGATCCTCAGATCTCAGCCTCCTCTGAATAGCTAGGATTACAAGCATGGGCTATGAGTGCCCAGCTAACCTCTACCTTTTAGTCCTTTGTTTTCTCCATATTGGCAAATGATACTACTTATTTTTTGTTTTTTTTTGGTCGGTCATGGGACTTGAACTCTGGACCTGGGTGCTGTCCCTCAGCTCTTCAGCTCAAGGGTAGCACTCTACCACTCGAGCCACAGCACCACTGCCAGTTTTTTCTGTTTGTGTGGTACTGAGGAATTGAACACAGGGCCTCATACATGCAAGGAGCACTCTACCACTGAGCCACCTTCCCAACCCCCAATACTACTTTTTTTCTTTTTTAAAGGAGTGCTTGGGGTTGAGTCTGGAGGTTCCACAACTGAACCATATCCATATCCCCTGCTTTTTTTTTTTTTTGGTAGGTTATGGGGTTTGAGCTCAAAGCCTGAGAGATGTCCCTGAGCTTAACTGTTCAAAGCTGTGACTCTACCACTTTGAACCACAGCTCCACTTCCAGTTTTCTGGTGGTTAATTAGAGATAAGAGTCTTACAGACTTTCCTGACAGGTCTGGCTTTGAACTGTATTTCTCAGATCTCAGCCTCCGAAGTATTTGCAATAGCTTCCATTATATGAAACCATCTTGAAACCTATAAGATGTACACACACACACACACACACACACACACACACACACACACACACACACACACACACGTTTGTATTTTAAATTTTGGTGACCTTAATTTTATTATGTTAATTAGGCTGAAATTATTTGTATTCTCCTAATTTAGTTTTGTATAAAAGCAATTAAGAAAATATTGTTAATATGTTCTTTTGTTGATTTGTTTTTTAATAGTGCTCAACCATGTTTAAATATTGAAGATGCTCCTGATATTCATGAAAAACCTTTTTTGAGTTCTAGTGCTCCACCTATAACAAGTCTCAGTCTCCTAGGAAATTTTGAGGTAATATGTTTTGGAATGAATTTAAGTGTTGGAGTATCTTGTACCTTTTTTGGTCGGTCGTGGAGCTTGAATACTGTTCCTGCGCTCTGCAGCTCAAGGCGAGCGCTCTACCATTTGAGCTACAGCGCCACTTCCAGTTTTCTAGTGGTTTATTGGAGATAAGAGTCTCACGGACTTTCCTGCCTGGGCTAGCTTTGAACCATGATCCTCAGACTCAGCCTCCTGAGTAACTAGGATTACAGGCGTGAGCCACCAGTGCCCAGCAAGTGTTGGAATTTCTTGAACTCGATCATGGCTATTATTAATGTCTTTAATATAAAAAGGAAAGAAAATAAATCGTCTTTTTATAAAGCCTTGCCTGTTTTTTTTTTGTTTGATTTTTTATTAGAAGGAAAAGTAGAGAATTGTTGGTATTGATATATTAGAAGTGGATAGCTAGTGGAGGAATCAGTCAGCATGGCAAATATCTATTACTCTGTAACCAAGAAGAGTGACTTATCTGGTAAAATTGGCCTTAGTAGCCAGCTGTGATGGTATATACCTATAGTCTCAGCTACTCGGGAGGCTAAGATGGGAGATTGACTTAGCCAAAAGTTCAGAAGCATCTTGGGCAACAAAACAATACTCCATCTCTTTAAAAAATGGCTTTGGGATCTTAAGAAAGATACAAGATGGTGAAATGGTAAAAGGTAATAGTCATCTTATAGCAGTTTCTTTATGATCAAGGAGATTGATTTGCCAAATCAAATGGTTCTTTGATACGTGTAGATTTTTATTTATTTATTTATTTTTATTTATTTATTTTTTTGCTGGTCCTGGGGGTTGAACTCTGGATCTGGCTGCTGTCTCTGAGCTGCTTTTGCTCAGGGCAAGCGGTCTACCATTTGACCCACAGTGCCATTTCCAGCTTTTTTGAGTAGCTTATTAAAGGTAAGAGTCTCACAGAGTGTCCTGGCTGAGCTGGCTTTGGACCATGATCCTCAGATCCCAGCCTCCTGAATAGCTAGGATTATAGGCATGAGTCACTGGTGCCCAGCTTAGATCATATTTTGTTATGGTTACTTCTGCATAGAATCAAGTATATCATGAGTTTGGCTGTTCTTATTTAATTTGAAATCAACTTAACTGCCAGGCATCATGGCACAATTGAGTGACTGAGGCAGGAGGATTGGTACATATTAAAATCTTACCTTAAAAAAACAAAGAAATAAAGCTGAGTGCTTGTGGATCATAGCTGTAATCCTAGCTACTCAGGAGGCTAAGATCTGAGGATCTTAATTTGAAGCCAGCCTGGACAAGAAAGTCCAGGAGACTCTTTCCAATTAACTACCAAAAAGCCAGAAGTGGAGCTGTGACTCAACTGCTAGAGTACCAGCCTTGAACACAAAAGCTCAGGGACAGCACCCAGGCCTTGAGTTCAAGCCTCAGGACCAGCACCAAAAAAAAAAACAAAACAAAAACAACAAAGAATGAAAAATGTGAAATATAAAAAAGAAAAATGTGAAATATATAGGTTTGTCTTAGTTGTGGTTTTATATACTTTAATAATCATTTAAATTTTTAGAATGTCTTTCAAAATGTTAATATAAATTTAAAAAAATATCTTGAGTTAAATCTCTTTTCCATTTTCTTTTTAAGGGTGGTATCAGTTCAAAGATGTTGAACTCTCTTCTTTTTTTTTGTTGGTCGTGAGGCTTGAACTCTGGGCCTAGGCGCTGTCCCTGCCCTCTTCAGCTCAAGGCGAGAGCTCTACCTCTTGAGCCACAGCGCCACTTACAGTTTTCTAGTGGTTTATTGGAGATCAGAGTCTCACAGACTTTTCTGCCCGGGCTGGCTTTGAACCATGATCCTCAGATCTCAGCCTCCTGAGTAGCTAGGATTACAAGCATGAGCCACTGGCACCCCACTTGAACTCTCTTCTTGAATATATCTATCTTTAATACTATCCTTATTGGGCTGGGGAAGCAGTCTGTATATAAAAACCTTAGGTAAGGGAAGATAGGAAAAAGATCTATATACTGTTTACTGAAGATTCTATTTGTATAGATATGCACACATTTTCAAGTTACTTAAAAAATGCAGTGAAGTTCTGGGACTAACCCATATGTTTTCTTCATAATGAAGGCAATGCTCTCTGCAGTAAATTAACAGATGATATTTACTGAGTGAATGTATTGATATTTATTATATAATACATAATTAAGCCGGGTGCCAGTGGCTCACACCTGTAATCCTAGCTATTCAGGAGGCTGAGATCTGAGATTCAAAGCCAGAGCTGGGAAGGTGGCTCAGTGGTAGAGTGCTTGCTTTGCATGTCTGAGGCCCTGGGTTCGATTCCTCAGCACCACATAAGTGAAAAGCAAAAAGCCAGAAGTGGCACTGTGGCTCAAGTGGTAGAGCGCTAGCCTTGAGCTGAAGAGCTGAGGGACAGTGCCCAGGCCCAGAGTTCAGGCCCCATGACCGGACCCCCCCCCCAAAAAAAAATAAAAAAGATTCAAAGCCACCCTGGCAGGAAAGTCCATGAGACTCTTACCTCCAATAAACCACCAGAAAACTGGAAGTGGCGTTCTGTCTCAAGTGGTAAGAAATAAGGAAGGCAATTAATAAGAAAGGTAATTAATAAGAAAGGCATATTGAGGACATAGATTCGAGTTCTAAACTATCATGCAAACTTGTAACTTGTTTTTGGTCAACCTCCCAAGTGTGTTGTGATTACAGGTATGTACCAACCACCATGCCCAGCAGTTCCTGGTCTATTTAAACAGAACATGAAGTGAATGACTTAGCTTTTCTGTTGTTTTTTACACCAACTATTTTGCTTTGTCTCCCAGGAATCTGTTTTGAATTACCGTTTAGATCCCCTTGGAGTAGTTGACGGCTTCACTGCCGAGGTAGGAGCAAGTGGTATTTTCTGTCCCACGCACTTGACTCTTCCAGTTGAAGTGTCATTCTACAGTGTTTCAGATGACAATGCTCCGTCTCCTTATATGGCAAGTATTTTTAAAAAATTATCCTTTTCTTCCTGGATCAATCCAGTTAGGGCATTATGATCAAAAGTATATATTTCTTAAATACAGACTAATATACTAAAATATTACCTGTTAGCTTCTTTCTGATTAAACAGCAGTAAAGTCTTTTACATTTGAGAATGTTGCTGTAATTTACTTGCTTCTGTGTGATTTACTGATTAGTGACACTACAATCATGTTGTACTACTCCACACAAATCTCAAGTGCTTCGTGGCTACTTTAGGGTTGCATTCCTGTGTGTTCTTTAGCTCAGAAGAGTTTAGAGAAGAGTCTGGTGAACTAAGGCTTCTGTGAGATCCTTTTTCTACTCTCTCATCTGTGGCCCATTCTTTCCTAATCCTAGAGTTCTAGAGCAATGAGCTGTTTATGACTCATGCTAATGGCTTAGAGGAAAGTAAGAGCTTTGAGGATTATAATACACTCTTAAGCTTCAGAGCTCTGATTTTATCTTTCCCATTTTTCTTATCCTAATGGATTGTAGGTAAAATATGCCTTCAGTACAAAAATTATTCTGAATCCTGGAGTGTATATGTGTATATATATATATATATATATATATATATATATATATATATATATATATATATATATATATATCCATCTGCTCCTTTTCAGTGCACAAAGAGGGAGAAATGGCAGGACGTGAAGGTCTGCAAAATGTTCTCAATAATCCCACAAAATAGAGTATCAAATAAGGTTTTCACTTTGACTCCCTAACTTGGAGTCAGTGATAAAAATGTTCTCTTAACTTTCTGAGAATGTAGCTCAGTGGTAGAGTGTTTTCCATAATGAGCAAGGCCTTGGGTTTGATTCTCAGCACTACATTAATTTTTTTTTAAAAAGTTCTCCAAGCCGGGCGCTGGTGGCTCACGCCTGTAATCCTAGCTACTCAGGAGGCTGAGATCTGAGGATCGCGGTTCAAAGCCAGCCCGGGCAGGAGAGACCGTGAGACTCCTATCTCCAATAAACCACTGTAGATCAAGTGGTAGAGCGCTCGCCTTGAGCTGAAGAGCTGAGGGACAGTGCCCAGGCCCAGAGTTCAAGCCCCACGACCAACCAAAAATAAAAATAAATAAAAAATAAAAAAAGTTCTCCAAGTGTTAATGATATCCTTTGCTTTCAAGCAACTATTGCGTGGTCTAATGAGGCAGAAATACATAAAAGCAGGTATGCCCAGGCAAAGTTAGGGAATCACTTGCATTCTTGCCAGCTTGACAAGGCTGTATATGGTTACTTTTTTTTTATTATGATTAACCAAATCAGCATATGCTTGTTAAGTTTTCTACTTATTAAACTAATAATACAGTTATATATAATTTCTCAATCCCTTTCTAAGTAAAATTCCTAGTTTTCCAATGTTACTCCTGGCCTAACAGTATTAAGAACTGTTTTAAAGTGTAACCCTAAACTTAAAAGATTGTTTTTTTAAAAAATCTATAGTCTTTCCTTCTAAATTGATATAATTACTGTTTTCTAACCTGTAGCTTTTCTGTATGTGTTTTAGAGTGAAAGGAGAAACAATAGTAATATGTGGTCTTTAGCAATATGATGATAAAAGTAGCCATTCATTTTTGTATATTTTGCCTTTTTTTCTGGGACTGGGAAGAATAGGGAAGGGTATTATATATCATTATCATTTTTCATGTAAATATCTATATCTCCTTGTACTTGAAGTGTGGTTCTTCACTAGAAAAGTATATCAAATTGTGTTAGAGAAAGTATTAATGAATAATTATGTTTTGGTTAAGGATTCAGTTTGTTGATAACTAGTTACATTTTTGTTGAGGCTTATTATTAATATCAATTAGTACAAGGGAGTTTCATGTTGACGTGTCCATATACTTATAAAATAATATACTTGTCATAAACGATATGTATGATAAACCTGATAGGCTCACTCCCCATTACTCTACATCATCCTCCTTCCCTTTCCAAAACTGTCTCTACTTTTATTGTTCCATTTTCACACATGATCACTGTTCATATTCTAAATGACCATGTGATAAACTGCATTTGTCAGGAACCATTTCCATTTCTTTTTTTTTTTTTTTTTGGTCGGTTGTGGGGCTTAAACTCTGGGGCTGGGCGCTGTCCCTCAGCTCTTCAGCTCAAGGCCAGCACTCTACCACTTGAGCTACAGCGCCACTTCCGGTTTTCTGGTGGTTTATTGGAGATAGGAGTCTTACAGTCTTTCCTGCCTGGGCTGGCTTTGAACCGCCATCCTCAGATCTCAGCCTCATGAGTAGCTAGGATTACAGGCGTGAGCCACCAGCGCCTGGCTCCATTTCCATTTCTTCAGTGTCCATTTCCATCATCATTTTCCAGTGTTAATGTGTCGATAGTGTTCTACTATTAGGTGCTGCATACTTAGAGTTGAGTTACTCACCTTCACCATTGCCTACTCTTTACTTCCCAAGTAGTCTGATTTCTAAATCCACCAAATAATGACACCTCTTGGGACAGTCCTGTTTTATATTTACATAAGGTTGGCGTGTTTGGTATACAGTGATAGAACCATAAAATGTGTGTGTATAACATGCAATCATTCTACTTAACTACCTTAATTAATTGAAAGAAAAGTATTACTCCTGTTTTAATAAGTAAAATCAGCCTTCATTATTTAAAGAATTATCATTATTCATTATTTAAGAATTATCATACTCACCAACTGAAGGCATTTGGTTATCCCAGTTACTGAGGTTTCATACATTCAATTTGAACTGCTCTTGTTTAAAATTTATATTTTCCCCCTATTTTTTGGACTCCTCAGAACAACTATTCCACATGCTGAAAGTTTTCTCACACTTTAATGTACATATGCTTTATCTAGAGTATTACTGAATTGCAGATTACAGTTTGTATATGATGGAGGAAGGCCATACCTCCTGCATTTCTTTTGTTTCCTTTTCTTTTTCTTTCTTTTTTTTGGTTGGTCGTGGGGCTTGAACTCTGGGCCTCGGTGCTGTCCTTCAGCTCTTCAGCTCAAGGCAAGTAATCTACCACTTGAGCCACAGCACCACTTCTGGTTTTCTAGCGGTATATTGGAAATAAGAGTCTCACAAACTTCCCTGCCTAGGCTGGCTTGGAACCGTGATTCTCAGATCTCAGCCTCCGTACAACCTTCTGCATTTCTAAAATAATCAAATGTGGTATTGATGAAGCTGATCTGAGGACCATTCTTTGAGTACCAGACTAACTACTTCTAATTTTCTCTTTTAGATTTCTCTAGTGAAAAGACTCCAATTTAGCTTTCACTTTGACTCAAATCTTAGCTCTTAGACTTTCAATCCATTGTGTTCTGATTTAACATCAATTTAGATTCTTAAAATCATCATTAAGTGAAAACTCAAAAGCCTACGATCTAGGTTAAGGAAGCTAAGCTTATTTCTCAAGAAACATTAGTCCTCAGAAAATGGAATTATATGGCTTTTGGATAGAACAAACCACAAATGCTGGTTAAACTTTGATTTTCTACTGTTTACTTTGAATATCTCTTGTAGAATTATCCGGCAGGAACCATTGAGTCCCAAACTTTTATTTTTTTCTTTTTTTTAAATGTCATTTTTATTTTGCTTTGTACTCAGAAATTCAGATATATAGCTTAACTCCCTGACTAAGGAATTTCTTCATTTTCAGTCAAGTCTTAGATCTTTTCATACTTACGACTTTTTTTTTTTTTTTGTCGGTCGTGGGGCTTGAACTCTGGGCCTGGGCGCTGTCCCTCAGCTCTTCAGCTCAAGCCGAGTGCTCTACCACTTGAGCTACAGCGCCACTTCCGGTTTTCTGGTGGTTTATTGGAGATAGGAGTCTCACGGTCTCTCCTGGCCGGGCTGGCTTTGAACCGCGATCCTCAGATCTCAGCCTCCTGAGTAGCTAGGATTACAGGCGTGAGCCACCAGCGCCCGGCTTACTTATTACTTTTTATATGTCCAAAGACCAACGAATTGTTTTGTTTCTATATTTTCCCTCTCCCCTAAGACTCAGGAATACTCCTGTAACCTTCTTAATTTTTTGGTTAAGAAACTTTCTTGCCTTTATTTATCAATGGAAATTTTCAGGAGCATAGCCATTTATATAATATTTGTTTTTAACATATCCAGGAAGAATAGTAAATTGTTTCATTACAGTTGGAAAGCTCACTATTTCATATTCATAAAATATATCTTATTAATGTATTTTGAATATCTTTCCCTAGAAATAGAATTTTGAATCCTTTTTAATTACATGGTGTGTTATTTTTATTTTAGTAATTTATATGCATGTGTACTCAATTTGTCTTCTTTTATTTCAAGGGTGTGATTACTTTAGAGTCCCTTGGTAAAAGGGGTTATCGAGTACCTCCTTCAGGAACAATACAAGTGGTATGTGTTTTATAGCCTACAATTGCAATAATCATTCTCTCACATACATATAGAACTTAGCCCTTTCTCCTGCTCCTGCTGCTGCAACAACTTTGGTAAGTAACAGTGGGGCTGCAGCTTTCTTTGGAGTGTCCATGCTCTGCCCCAGGAATGAACATTTGGGGACTTCCATAAAAGGAAAATAGTTGGAGATGAATAGTACATGAGAAAAACAGTACATGACCATTTGCATAAGATAAAATAAAGGGATATATGTTCAATATAATTAGAACCTAACAAAACATACCATTACCAGTGTCTTATATTAATATAGTAAGGCATACTGAGATTTCACCTATTTAAAAGGAGACCTTAGTACTGCCAAGGAAAACTTGGGACTCAAGATGTTACACCTTATTTAATGATTGTTAAAACAGATCTAAGTAGAAATGTTGGTCTGACAGATGACACAGCAGAGCATCATTGCTTTTTGGGTATTGATGAGAGTTTTAGTTTTGGTATTGACCAGAGAACCATGGTCACCCTGGGCAGTTATTTCTTATCCTTGGTCTAGGCTTCCCAAAGCATGATTTAGTATCAAGGCCTGTTTGCAATTGTGTTTATCTCCAAATCTGAGCTCCAGTCTGCAAACACTGAATCTGTTGCCTAGTTGTTTGCAGTCTGAAAGCCTAGTTGATGCTGGTTCCTTACATTCAGGATCTGATCTAGGCCAGCAAGACTTTTTAAGAACTTTGTCCAGTGTTTGTCAAGTCCCAATACCTTTGTTTATTTCATATCTCACTGAAGTGAAATATTCCCCTACACTTAGGTGTTTACTGAGAAAGAATCACTGCATCTTAAGGCCTGATCTGTTGGTAAACAGATCTTGAATCCTAGTGGGATTGCCTCTGGCTCTATAGCACTTGAGAGTTAAAGTCACTAGTCATTATCCCTGAAGCAGTATACTGGCCTCTTGCTTTAGACACTGTCAGCTTTTCTGCTTAATTTTCAGTATAAACTTTGGGTATGTCCTTCATTTGTTATAAAGCTTAATCATTCATAATCATGGATTGAACTCCTGGCTTGCTAGTTGTTGTGGTTACAAGATTGGATCATAATATTGATGTATTTCTCATTTTGATTCAGTGAGTGATGTCCAGTGCCACGGATGAGCTTCTGAAAGCACGGGCACCAAGTTACCTAGTGATGTGTTGGTAATTTGGTTAAAGTCAGATCAGCAGCTTGGGGTTTTGTTTAAAATTTTATATTTTTTAAAAGTAAAATTCCTTCAATTTATAGCCAAGTACCAATTAAATTCACTTCAATCCTCATTAAAAATACATACTTTGGCCTATGATACTGATGATTTAAAAACAAAAACTAATGTTGGGAGGAGGCTACAATGCTTGATAAGAAATGTACTCATTATCATGCCCATATAATTGTAACCCCTCTGTACAGTATTTTCACAATAAAAAATAAAATAAAATATGAAACATAAAAAAACTAGTATTGCTGAATGCAACAATTGTATGCTGAAAGCATACAATCAGGATATCAAGTATTACTTAGCTGACTTTGGGTCTCATAATCATGAGCTTTATTTTAATATACTTGAAAACGTTTCAAAAAGATAAGTCCCTCTTTTAAACATATATAATCACTTTTACACTAACTATATGTAACTTAAATAGAAATTCTGGGGCTGGGAAGGTGGCTCAGTGGTAGAGAGCTTGCCTTGCATGCCTGAGGCCCTGGATTCGATTCCTCAGCACCACATAAGCAAAAAGAAAAAAGCCGGAAGTGGCACTGTGGCTCAAGTGGTAGAGCACTAGCCTTGAGCTGAAGAGCTGAGGGACAGTGCCCAGGCCCAGAGTTCAGGACCCACGACCGGACCCCCAAAAAAACCAAAACACAGAAATTCTAATTTTCACTTAGCTTCTATTTGTATTTTTAAAATTCTACTTATTCACTATTTAAGACATGAGAAAAAGCCAGGTGCTAGTGGCTACGATAAGCTGAGAGGCTTAGAGCTGAGAGCTGAGGGTTGTGGTTTGAAGCTAGTCTCTGCAGAAAAATCTGTGAGACTCTTATCTCCAGTTAAGCACCAAAAAAGCCGGAACTAAAGCTGTGTCTCAAGTGGTAGAGTACTAACCTTAAACAAAAAAGCTCAGTGACAGCGTCCAGGTCCTGAGTTCAAACGCTAGGACTGACACAAAAAAAAAGTGAGAAAAATTAAAGTACACTTGGAGAAATTTGAAATTTTCATTAAAGCTTATGTTTGAAAAATAATTGAGCTAGAATTTTTAATCTAGTAAAAATATATTTTGCTTAAACTAGAGGAACTATTTCTGAAAGTCTGAACAAGGAGTTTCTATTGTTATGTAAAATTTGTGACTAAAGACTTTTATTACAGGATTTTATTAAAAAATATTGTGAAGTAAGAAATTAAGTTAAACATTTGAAAGGTTATTGAATGTTATTTTATGAATTTCTAAAACATTGATTTTAGTTTCTGAAATTGAATTATATCCAATGGGATTAAATTATTAAGTAGCCTTTTTAATTATTAGCATAATTATTCTGAGGTACGTCAACAAATCACTGTTTTTAAAGAATAATTTTTGTGTTGTTTCTTCAGACCTTATTTAATCCTAATAAGACTGTGGTGAAGATGTTTGTTGTGATATATGACTTACGAGATATGCCAGCCAATCATCAGACATTCCTACGACAAAGAACTTTCTCTGTTCCGGTTAAGCAAGAAATGAAGAGAAGCGTCAATAAACAGAGTATCCGGCATACAGAACGGTTACTACGCTACCTCATACATCTGAGGTACTACTGTTGAAAATTAATGTGAGGGGCTGGGAAGGTGGCTCAGTGGTAGAGTGCTTGCCTTGCATGCATGAGACCCTGGGTTCAATTCCTCAGCTCCACATAAGCAGAAAAAGCTGGAAGTGGGGTTGTGGCTCAAGTGGTAGAGCACTAGCCTTGAGCTGAAGAGCTGAGGGACAGTGCCCAGACCCAGAGTTCAGGCACCATGACTGGCAAAAAAAAAAAAAAGAAAAGAAAATGTGAAAATATTTCATACTAGGATAAGTCCAAAATTTTTAGTTTATTCTTTGAAACATTAACTAGCCAGAACAGTGTCCCTTACACTTGGTTTAGCCTAGGAAATTCTGACGATGGGTCAAGATGCAGAAAGTACAGTTCCTTCCTGCAGTCAAAGTGATCAGTTGCTCCATTTTAACATGCAGCTGACCACCAAATCTTTAACCTAGTTTAAAAATAAAACCCACAAACCCAAAGAGTACTTCTGCTATGCTGATGGAAAACAAGAAAGCACAATAGGTCATGCTAAGTTTCTGTTTAGTAAGTTTGTGTGATGAAAGGCTAATTCTTTACTTAGCATGCCCAGTGCCTTAGGTTCAATCCACAGCATTTCAGAGAAAGACTCTGAGTAACAAAAGATGCTGAGTAACAAATATTAGCATTATCACATTATTAGCAGGGGATAGAAGCAGTTTCATACTCACTTTTTTGATAGCCATTTTCAACTCACTGCTAGTTTTTATCTTGACTTTTGATAGTAGGTTTTATTTAGATAGCTACTGATGATGATAGCAGTGAGTGTTCTCAAAATATGAATATTTTTTGTCCTTACTTTACCAGCGTGGAATCCATTTTAATCTACTGGCAGATCATGGGAGGTTTGCTCATGTGAAATGGATCAATTTGTATAGAAGCCCAAAGTAGTATAATTGGCTGGTGTAAACTAAAAGTTGACACTCAGAGATAGGAAATGGAAATGTGCTTTGGAATCAGGGAGGAAAAGTTAGATGGTATTGGAAACCTACACTCACTTATAGGAAAAAGCCTTTCAGCATGGTAAGAGAGAAAGCAGTGAAGAATGTTTGGGGAATACAAAGGAAGAGGCACTTAAGTTAGAAGCATGTGCACTAACCATTTAAGACCATAAATATCATATAAAGGAGTTTTAGAGACCCATTCCTTAAATAAAGACAATATCCCACTAAACTATCAAATAAGGGTGAGGAAGGAATAAAACATCACAAAAATGACAAAATGACAGACAAAAACTACATAATTTCAGCCGGGTGCTGGTGGCTCATGCCTGTAATCCTAGCTACTCAGGAGGCTGAGATCTGAGGATCACAGTTCAAAGCTAGCCCAGGCAGGAAAGTCCAATGACCACTAGAAAACCGGAAGTGGCACTGTGGCTCAAGCGGTAGAGCGCTCACATTGAGCTGAAGAGCGCAGGGACAGCGCCCAAGCCCAGAGCTCAAGCCCCAGGACCGACCAAAAAAAAAAGAAAACTACATAATTTCAATAGTAATCAAATGGTGATCAAATGTTAATTGTATCAGTTTCACAGAATTGCAGGCTGAGTTAAGAAAGCAGCCCCAACTACTTGGCTACAGAAATACATTTCATTCATAATGACCAACACTGGTTTAGAGTGAAAGAATGGAAATAGATTTTCCAAGCAGATGAAACTCAAAAGCAGGCAGGAATTCATATCAGCATTCAGGCAGCATTCATATCTGATAAAAAATAAAAAGACTTCAAATAAAAATTACTCAGAAGAGACTAAGATCACTTCATGCTGATAATGGTAACAATCCATCAAGAGGAAATGATAATTGTTAACATGTGCACCAAACATGGGCATATCCAGCTTCATTAAACAAACACCACTGGACTCAGCACTATTTATAACAGCTGGGAGATCAGCCTGGGTACCCAACAGCTAATGAGTGGATAAAGAAAATGTTACACAGACACACACAGTAGAGTATTATTCAGCCAAAAAGAAGAATTAAAATACTGTTATTTGCAGGAAGATTGATGGAATTGGAGATCATCATGTTAATCAAAATAATCCAGGCTCAGAAAGCCAGATATTTTGCCTTTGCTCATCTGTGGAACGTAGACCTAAAATAAGAAAGGAAGGATAGGACTCAATGGGATAGGATAAGGTCAATTGGCCTGTCTGGGGGATAATGTGCAAGAAGAGGGTGAATGAAGGGAAATGGCACTGGGGTTTGAGGAGGAGTAGAGTATGTACATATCTATGTATGAGGATGGCACATGAAGCCTACCCACCAAATACTGTTTGAAGGTAGAGGGACTGAGGGACTGTATTGAAAATGTGTGTGTGTGTGTGTATGCATGTATGGAATTATCAAAATGAACCCCCCTTTATTAATATATACTTTAAAAAAGGGAAAAACAAAATGTCTCGTTTCTTAAAAATGATTAATTTTTTAAAAAATTTGTTTAGGTTCCAGAGTTCTAAATCTGGAAAGATCTACCTCCATCGAGACGTTCGGCTCCTGTTCTCTAGGAAGTCAATGGAGGTTGATAGCGGTGCTGCATATGAACTCAAATCTTACACTGAATCGCCAACAAACCCTCAGTTTTCACCACGATGTTGATAAGGAATAACAATTTCAAGTATTCGCTCAGTACCCAAGTTTGGAAGTAAATCTTAGCCTAAAATGGAGTGTACCAATTTTACAATCAGGAGAGTAGATCCTTTCCTGTTGTTCTGGACCAGTTTTTTTTTTTTTTTTTAAGGATTCCTAAAATGAGGCCCACAAATTCCAAGTAGACTGGAAACACTCATGCCCTAATTCTTTTTGTACTGTTGAAACCACTTCATTGGACACGTTGCAATAGCAGAACCCCCTGTTTAGATTAGTGTTTACACATTTTATTTCTGTTATTTAATATTTAATGTTTTTCTTAATACTCAGAAGTGATGTTTGTCTTAGTGTTCTAATGTAGCACAAATCCTGTGTCAAATCATACTGTGTATTTTTGACCTTGACGTTTAAATCTGAAATATATGCACAAGTCTTTAATTTTCGTGTGGTGTGCTTTAAGCGCTATTTCTTTAAGCTATTGAGAATGAGAATGAAATGTTGAGCTTCTTTAAGATTAATGCACTATGCAAGCATGTGTATTTTTTATATTGCTGGTATGTGGTTTTGACAGCATCCCAGCTACATTGCTGGCTCGTGAAATAGCCCTTTACCATGCTGTATGGCAGAGCAAGGCAGACAAGCTGCTTCACAGCCCTGGTGCAAGCTCACGTCCTCATGCCCATTCGTAGTCCTTTCAGGATTTCTTGTTCCCCAGACAGTTCCGTTTTCCTTACTACCTTTAGCTGCTTTCCATTGAAGTGCTGTCCCTTGCTAGATAATTTTCTCAAGTTGTTAAAAAAAAATAAAGAATATGTACTTTGAAAATAAATTAGTATTTATATTGTAAATATATGAAGAACTGAAAAAATGTGTATCTGGCTTTTATTTGTAGAGGAGACATTTATTTGACGAGGTGAATTAACCATCAGGCAGTTTCCATTCCGTCCCCTCAGCTGCCCTCCAGGGGAGGGGAAGACTTAGGGAATCTTGTCACAACACTTCTTCCGGACTGTAGTGGAAGTTGAGTGGCAATTTGACTGAATGTATCAGAGGCCTTATTTCCAACAAGCTTGGTTTTAGATGTTTGTGTTGAGGCGATAGACAACAGCAGAGTAGACAACCAGGCAGAAATACTGAAAAGGCTAATAGAAATCTATGACTACAGGTTCTAAAATACACATCATACCAGTAGGCCCTATCCGGGAGATCTAGTAGACTAGGGGCAAGTCAGCTGTCGAATTGATAAGAGGAAACCCTTTACTCAGCTACTTTAGAGACTCCCTGGCAGGTAATGGGGGTGTGGCTACTATTTGTGGAGTAGCAAACAGAAGCCTCATAAATTTCTTTTTAAATAACCAGTTAAGCCAGGTGCCAGTGGCTCACGTCTGTAATCCTAGCTTTTCAGGAGGCTGAGATCTGAGGATCGTGGTTCAAAGCCAGCTCAGGAAGGAACATCCGTGAGACTCTTACCTCCAATTAATACCAGAAAACTGAAAGTGGTATTGTGGCTCAAGTGGTAGAGCATTCACTTGAGCTGAAGAGGCTCAAGGATAGTGCCCAGGCCCAGAGTTCAAGCCCCATGACTGAAAAAAACAAAACATCAGTTAAGTAGCAAGGTGTGATGGGACACTTCTGTAATCAGTCCCAAACTATATGGGACTGATAGTTTTTGCAAGGTAGTTTTTCCCAGTCCAAAGACAACCCTGGCAAAGGTATCAAGGAGACCCCAGTGGGGTCTTAGCCTCAGAAAGCTGAGAATCTCAGTCCAAAGCCAGGCCAGGCAAAGGAAAAGACTGTGAGACTTTTACCTCAAATTCACCACCAAAAGGTTGAAAGTGGAAGAATGGCTCAAGTGATGAGTGTCAGCTTTGAGTGAAAAAGCTAAAGGACAGCACCCAGCCCTGAGTTTAAGCCCCAGGACTGGCACAGAATAACACTTAGACATATAATAACAAAATAAAATAACCTGTTCCAGCTACAAAGTCTTGGATTTTGTTTTTTGTTTTTGATTTTTTGTTTTTTCATTTTTGTTTCTGGTCATGGGGCTTGAACTCTGGGCCTAGATGCTGCCCCTGAACTCTTCAGTTGAAGGCTAGCACTTGAGCCACAGCATCACTTCTGGTTTTTCTGGTGGTTAATTGGAAAGAAGAGTCTCACGGACTTTCCTGCCCCGGCTGGCTTGGAACTGCAATCTGCAGATCTCAGCCTCCTAAGTAGCTAGGATTACAGGTATGAGCCATTGGCACCAGGCTAAAAACTTGGATTTTTGATACTCAGTATCTCACTTCATTTCTCTCATTGATTTTTCAGTCTTTTACCATCTCTGTTCTGATGTTTGCTGGGTAGCTGATGGTACAACTGGAAAAGGGGAGGTTGGACATTATCTCATTTCCTTTACTCCTTATAAACTCTTGAGCTAGAGTAACTAAACCTCAAAAAAACAACAACAAAACCCTAACCTTTTCAAAGCTTTTATACACCTACCAAAACCCAAGTGAAGAAAATACCTCATGCATGTATGCATCAGTAGCAGCCAGGGGGAGCTTTGGTTAAACATCAGTTGGTAGACATTGCTTGTCCCAGGTTTACTTGTAGTAAGAATCTCTGTTGAGAATTCAAGGAATTCTAATCTCATGGCTGGTGGTTTAAAATCAAACAGTTCCTTAGTTTGTAGAGTCACATTTCAAATGCTCAGTAATGATATTTAACTAGTGGCTACAGTATTGGAGTATTTGAATATTTCTATTATCTTAGAATGTGCTATTGGACAGCCATCATGTACACTGTAGTGGAAGCTGGAAGAGTGGAGGTGATCTGCAGATTGTAAAACTTGGAGAGAATCCAAGGACAGAATTATCTAGAGTCCTCTCATAAAGAGACTGCTAAATCAGAGTAAAGGGGTGAGGAATAAAGTTGTAATCCCAGCACTTGGAAATGAGGCAGAAGGATTGGAAGTTGGAGACCAGCCTAGGCTACATAGTGAGATCCTGTCGAAATGATAAGGAAGAGAAAACATAGTCAAGAAGAGAAACTGAGAATTACATCCTAGGGTTCAAAGGAAGAGAGTTTATAGAAATGAAATATTGGGAATCAGCTTTGAACATGATGTTACAAAGTTGATGCAGAACAGTGTTGTAAGAGAGCTCTAGGAGTTTACATTTTGTCCAAAAATAATCTTTTAAAATACCAACTCCCTACAGGAAACAACATGCTAGGAGTGAAAATAGCCAACTCCAAAAAGCTTGGACAGTGGTGCCAAGAGAGACTTATCTCACTGTTCCATAACTGGGGCCCACAACTAAGTCTCTATAATCACATTTCCAGGCTTTTGTTTCAGGCCTTCTATAAATTGTGGTGCCACCATGGGCAAAACAGGCAGAGACTGAGAATTTTTCTGTCTCTAGTTCTGGCCCAAACAGCAGATTAATTTTTCCATTATGCATTATGTTTATTGTATCTTTTGTCAGTAATGGGGCCTGAACTCTGGGCCTGGGTGCTTCCCTCAGCTCTTCAACTCAAGGCTAGTGCTCTACCGCTTGAGCCACAGCACCACTTCTGGCTTTTTCTGCTTATGTGGTGCTGAGGAATTGAACCTAGGGCCTCATGCATGCAAGGCAAGCACTCTACCTCTGGGCCACATTCCCAGCCCCTCATTTTCTCTTAATGCTGGTATGTTAGGACCCAGAGGTAGGCCTCAAGTTAACTATTACGTAGGAAAGGATGGCTTCCCAGACAGGTCCCCATAATGGGCTATACATAACCTTTGTTGAGTTTTCCACTTGACCAAAGTCTGTTCCCCAGTAATTCAAACTTGTGACTTTCAGGAACAGATTCCCTTTACTCAAGACACACACACACACACACACACACACACACACACACACACACACACTCAGGAACAGATTCCCTTTACTCAAGACACACACACACACACACTCAGGAACAGATTCCCTTTACTCAAGACACACACACACACACACACACACACACACACACACACACACACACACACACACACACACACACACACACACACACACACACACACACACACACACACACCAGAACGCAAGTTTATTAATAAATTGTTAGATGTACTCATTACCCTAACTTGTACATTTTTCTTTCACTCTGAAGTTCTGCTTAAAGAGAAGGCAAATTTTTAGTTAGATGAGTGTAAGTATAGAATGAAAATGAAAAATACATAGATTTCCTGAAGTTTTTCCACTGGTCCACCTTGAGACTTTATCAAGACATCTTTGTCCAAGAGTTGGCTTCTTGAGCCCTTTTAAGCATTTCCTTGACTGTTAAATTCTTTCTTTCTCCCAAAAGAAGCTAACAATATTCTGTGTTTATCAGATTACAACACAGTTCTTCCTGTATTTTTGTTTCCAAATTCAATATCAAGTCTTATAGGATCTTTTTGATTGCTCCTCTTCCTCTTCAGTACCCTTGCCTTCATTTACCTTCACCTTTCTACCAGAAGGCCATCTTACTTTCAAGTTTCTGAGGGATAACTTCTTTAGAACCGTAGAATAAGCTATTCAGATGTCAGATAGAAGACTCAGTGTGAAGCCATGCGACTTGACAAATTAACAAGGCCACTGGGGGAAATCAATGCCACAGTCACTGGAGGAAACTGAGGTCTGGGAAGACACTGGGAGTGAGGTATGAGTAGAGACAAGCTCCCCTCCTTGGTATGGCTTGTCTGAGCAGAAAAGGTGTCATAAAGTAGTAATTCCTGTGTAATGATGCAGTAGGCATTGCGGAATCATCCAGAACCATTTGAGGGGGAGCTGACCTAATGCCGATGCTCAGAAAGAAGGAAAGAAGGATTGTGGAAGCGAAATGAAAGGGGCGAATTAGGAGAGGCAGAGCTTCGGAGAAAACAATGCCTTTGTGGCTGCAAAGCAGAAAGCAAGGACTTGGAAATAGGAGCGGGTCGGAGATTAGAAAGTCAAAAATCCCCTAGACAGAAAGAATCAAGAGTAGCCGCCATGAATGAACTACATTTCCCAGAAATGCTGGGGGGAGGTGTACCCACGGGCGGAAGTGACGTCAGACGCGAGCCGCGACCTTTGAAGGAAAAAAGGGAAGTGCTCAGACGTCGCCGAGGTGGAGGAACGGGGTTAGGTCGGTGAGGGGCGCGGCGGGTCCTAGCTGTGGCCGCGGGCGCCTCGGGGGCGCGTTTCGTCACAAGGCGGCGGCCGGGGTGCCGGGGCGCTGGGTGGGCAGTGGGCTGGAAGGCGGGCGGCCTCGGCCACCCGGTAATCGCATTTTTCCCGGCGTCTCGTCTGCACAGGGAGCATCATGTCCGCGGAAGTCCCTGAGGCGGCCTCGGCCGAGGAGCAGAAGGTGAGCGGGAGCGGGCCTGGGCGCGGGAATCGGCGTGGACGCCGCACGAACCGGCCTGGACGCGGGATCGGGCCTGGGAGCCGGAACCGGCCTGTGCGCGGGAGCGGGACTGGGAGCGGGAACCGGCCTGGGAGCGAGAACGGGCCGCGAGAAGTGGAAGGCGGGTGCCTGGCCCCGGGCACCCTGCCCGCCCGCCACTGCCATTACGGGCCACGAGGGCCAACGTGCTGCGCGTTTGAACGCTTAACGTTGGTTTTTCTCTTGAAACGTGGCTTGGGATTGGGGGGGGGGGGAAGAGGGGAAGGCTATGCTTTCGAAGTGGGGTGGGGTCACTTCTGTAGCTGCCAGAGCCGGGGTTCCGGTGCCCCGCGAGCCCTCCGACTTTCCCCAGGACCCCACACCCCCCCTATCCCCTTGGCGCTGGAAGTTGGCGCGCCGCAGCCCCTCGTGGTCCGCTGGCGGAGATTAGAACAGGATTTCCCTTCCAACCTGT